TTGTTTTAACGTATGAAAAGGTCAAAGGATGACTAACTTAGCCCAACTCTTAAAAAATGCTTTTTAAAAATTACATATTTGTTTATTTCTGTACTTGGCTGTACTATGGAGAAATCTCGGTCCTTATGTGTGCTAACCAGGTGCTTCCCGAGTTCCCCGCACTCTTGGCTCTCCATTCCCTCTCAGTCTGCCTTGTTCTCTTCCTCTGAGTTTTAGACTCTCCTGGTACATGGAAATGCCACTTCCACAGTAGTGCAGCACATACACATTCTTCAGGAATAGCTCTGCCAGGCAGTTGTGGCGCACGCCTTTAATCCCAGCACTTGGGAGGCAGAGGCAGGTGGAGCTCACTGAGTTCAAGGCCGGCCTGGTCTACAAAATGAGTTCCAGGACAACCAGGATAGTTATACAGAGAAATCCTGTTTTTGTTTTTTTTTAAAAAAGAGTTGATCTGATTTTTTCCCCCAACTTTTCAAGAGGAAGAATATGGACATTTCATTATTATATGATATCAGCAAAATGAATTGCATTTTTATAATTTGAAAGAAATATTCAGCTAGTTAGCTTAATAATGTAGAACTTTCATTTTCTATATTTTTTAAATAATTAATTAGAAGAAAATGTATATGATTCTGTATAGTGTTTTCCTGGCCATGCCTTAATCAGCTAATTCGGCTAATTTTAATAATCTTTGAATTGAATATGTTTTTGTGATGAACACTTTAAATTTATGCAAAGGAACTAAGCCCCAAAAGAGTTTTTAGAAAATGAATTTTTTTTGGTTAAGTTTGACTCCTAAGCAGGAAATTGGTGTTCAGGCACCGAGTATATGTGCAGAACCACCCCCTAGCCAGACCAGTGTCTTCATTCCTGATGAAGTACTTACTTATCAATTCCCTTGATCACTCAACATCTCAATCCCAGACGTGTTGCCCTTTTCTCCCTGTGAAATCCAAGTGAATGGATGGTGAACTTTAGTCTGTAACTCTCCCTAGTGCTTGTCTGCCTCCAGGAGACCTTTTGAGGGAATGGATCAGGCAAAAGGGAAATGACCATCATGGGACTTTTGTGGATGTTTGTGTTGGATTGGGAAAGTAGTTGTATTAAGATGTAGATATATTTGAGAAGCCCAACATTGTTACTTGGAGCTCACGTGCAGAGGTGTGGCCTATCTTCTAGAGAGAGAGGGTGCCTTTGTTGTTACTCGATCTTATTAGCTTTAGATATTGCTAATACTAAGTTTACAGAGAAGGAGGGTTTGTGGTTACAAAGTATCTTAAATATTCCACAGTCCTCTCTACTGTTCCTTGTGTGTCCTACACTATATTTTAATAATAATTGCTGTCATTGCTAAAGAAAGTTTTCTAGGGGCTAGAGAAATGATTCAGCAGGTAGCAGCACTTACTGCCTTTGCAGAGAACCTGGGCTCAGTTCTCTGCACCTTCATGGTGATTCACAACCACCTGTCCCTCCACTTCCAAGGAGACAAGACATTCTCTGATGGCCCCCTTAGGCACCACGCGTGCACTTGGTACAGAGATATACATGAAAACAAAACAATCATACACATAGGATTTATACATCTAAAAGTCTTTGTTTTTGAGAAAGCTTTGTGTAGAATTAATACCCGTACCTTTTTTCTGCCTTGGTTAGTGTTGTGCTTATTGGAGCTATTTTACTGTCCTTCATGAATATAAGGAATGCCCCTCTTTCTCTTCTAAGAACTTAAAAGTTTCTTACCGCTAGTAGTACTCCATTGTGTAAATGTACCATATTTTCTTTATCCAGTCTTTAGTTGAGGGGCATCTAGGTTCTTTCCAGGTTTCAACTATTACAAGTAATGCTGCTGTGAACATAGTTGAGCAAGCGTTCTTGTGGTATTGAGCATCCTTTGGGTATGTATGCTCAAGAGTTACATTGCTGGGTCTTGAGGTAGATTGATTCCCAATTTTCTGAGAAACTGCTGATTTCCAGTCAGTGTTTGGAAATACTGATTTCCAAAGTTTACACTCCCTAGTATCAGGGATGTATTATGGGGTTAGGGAGAAACCTGGTATCAGGGAATCTTCCAGGAATCCACAAGGATGACCCCAGCTAAGTCTCCTAGCAGTAGTGGAGAGGGTGACTGAACTGGGCTTTAATCAGGTTGGTGACCCTCCTATTGTCATCATAGACCCCTCATCCGGTAACTGACAGAAGCAGATGCAGAGATCAACAGCCAAGCACTGGGCGGAGCTCTGGGAGTTTGGGGGAAGAGAGGGAAGAGGGATTATATGAGCAAAGGGGTCAAGATCATGATAGGGAAACCCACAGAGACAGCTGACCTGAACTTGTGGGAGCTCATGAACTCTAGACCAACATCTAGGGAGCCTGCAGGGGACCGACATCAGCCCTGCAGTCATGTGGGTGACAGTTGTGTATTTTGGCCTGTTTGTTGAGCCCCTAGCAATGGAACCAGGAACTTTCCCTCATATATGAGCAGGCTTTTTGAAATGTATTTCCTATGGTGGGATGCCTTGCTCAGCCTTGATGCGGTGGGAATGAATTTGGTCCTGCATCGGCTTGATATGACATGCTTTGTTGACTCCCAAGGGAGTCCTTTCCTTTTCAGTGGAGGTGGAAGAGGAGTGGTGGGGGTGGGTAGAGGGGAGGTGGGAGGAGGGAAGGGGAAGGAGGGGAAACTGTGGTTGGTATGTAAAATAAATAAAATTTTAATAAAAATAAATATATATGTATATAAAGTTTCTTCATTTGTAATGAGCCTTTTAAAAAATTTTTGGGCGCTGGAGAGATGACCCGTTGGTTAAGAATATTCCCTGCTCTTCCAGAGAACCCAGGGTCCATTCCCAGCACACAAATGGTGTCTCAGTACTGTAGAAGATCCAAGGCCCACTTCTGGACTCTTCATACACTCCACACATGTGGTGCATGGACATATATTCAGGCAAAACACCCATATACTTTAAATAGAAATACATAAAATCTAAATACATTAAAAAGCCAAGAATTCCTAGAATAGGAGTTTGCTCTTTCCTTTGACTGTTATGGATTATAATCATGTGAAGACTTACCTGCTGGGGACATGGAAACCTTTGTTACACCAGAGACACTTTCTTATAAGGAATCTTTGCCAGTCTTAAGGTGAAGCACACTTAGGAACGTCGGGTCCGGTTTTGTCCTCAGCAGCATGCTCACCTGTCTTGGGGAAGGCAAATGCCCCACCCTTTGTTTCTCTCTGGAGTTGTGAGAACTGTGGTAAGTTCTCTGCTAAGTCCTCATGAGCGCTAGACTCACTTGGTCTCCAGCAGAGCCTCATGGGTAGACTTTGCTGGTTTCCCCCTGTGAGTTAGGACATTGGGAGCACAGCAGTAATTAACGCGGGTGTGTGAGTGGAGTGCAGGGGAGATACATTTAAACACTACCCTGACTCTCCACTGTGTCTTAGGTGCTTAAAGGTTGTTATCTGTTTTATTTCCCCCAGGAAAATGCTCTGTTCATTCTGTAATTTTGGTTGTGCCCTTTGTATTACTTTTGTTTAAATCTTGGATTCTTCTTAACCAACACTTGTAATTGTAGTGCCTACCAGGGTAACTGTGTTCTAATGATCTTGCTTTCTTCTGTTGTCAGGGAAGTCTTATCATCATCAAATCCAAAATCCCCACGTACTGCTCTATCGGCTGTTGATTAAAGCCATGCTGCTTCCTCAGGCACTGACAGAGGCTGCAGTGACCCTCTCCTGAGTTCGGTTTACTCTGATTCCCAGCACCATTTGTTGGCTAACTAGGCTCGGAGGATCGTGTCTAATCCAGAGGACTCATTGTGCAAGCTGTTTGTCAACACAAAGCACAGGTGCTAATGGAAGGCAATTAAAATACTTGTGAAAAAGTTGAATTCTGTGAGAGTTCCTCATCTTGGTCATCTGTGTGAATTTATGGATTATATCTATGTGCATATTTTCCAATATATTTTTACTTACAGCCCTTCTAAAGATCACTCTATAGCTGGGCACTTATTTTATATGTTGGTTTTGGCCATTTCCTAGTTTTTATATTTATCAAGAATGAAAAAATTTAAGATAGCAAGTAACATTTGTGACTTCCCTATTAGCTAGGATGTGCAAATGTGTATTTTATAATGTGAAATGTTTTGGAGCATCTTTTCCTTCCTGAATATTCTAGTTTAAAAACCTTGTTTTAAATGTAAAAATTCTATTACAAGTTTATTGTTTACTACACTTGTTAAAACTACCTAAACTTTAAGTGAATATTACTTTTACATTTTGTAGCCTGAAAATACAGATGATGTACATATGCAGATATACAGAAATTAAAATCTTAAAACTTACTTGTACTCATTGATACCATAGTACTTATTTGTGTTTCAGTTACTTTGTTTTTGAAAACATAATTTATGGATGCAGCCCAGAGTTTCTCATAAGCTAGAAACTTCTGGATGATTCTACAAAAGGAAGGAGTAGAGGAAGAGAAATAGAAAATGCGGGTAAGACTTTCAATCTGACTGGTAGGAAGAGAGGCTACAGGGACTTGGATAGTCAAACCAAATTTAAATCATGGTCACACATTGGAAAACATGGGGATAGGCAGTCACTGTGTTATGTGGCAGCAGCTCCATGCCTTCTGAACACTGGATAGATGATGCCGTCCCCATTCTCGCCTCTGGACATCTGGTTGACCCCTTGGCAATTCTTGTTTCAGATAGCTGCACAGCTGTCAGTTGAAAGAATGCAAACGACTGCTGAGTCACCATATACAGACCTGCCTACCCTTGACCAGGGCCTTTGCTGCCTGATCCTGGATCCTCTCTTTCCTCAGAGCTATAGTACCTTGTCACATCCTCAGACCATGCCTGCTCTAGCAGCTGCCTGATCTCAGTCTTGCTTTGGGTTTTCTCTGTAGGCAGCACTACTCAAAGATAGTGGCAGTCTACTTTGATTCCAGTAGTTGAACTTGCTAGAACATCAAGACCTGTAGCAGACACAATAGAGTAATAAACACTTTATTTTGCTTTTATTTTTCTGTTTGAGATACAAAATGTGCACATTGAGTTTACACAAACACGCGATGGCAGATTTCAGTGTACATGTATTGTACTACTCTTAATTCCTACACTGGTGATAGCAGGGCAGCTCTCAACATCCTATCTCTACACCAGAATAGATACCTGATTTATTGTTGCAGACAGTCGCAATTTTCTCCTCCTGTATCCTCTTGGTACTTGTGATATTTCTATGAACAGGGAAGGTATGTGTATCTATAGTACTGTTGTGGCAGCTCTACAGTTTGCCTTAAGATCACTGAAATGAATCTGAATCCTTTAAGCTATATGATGTGCTAAATCATAATGCAATTCAGATGAACTGTTCAATGTTTGTATTCCATTTTCTAAACAGCCTTATGTGTAATTTCCAATATGATAGAATCACTGGTGTTTTCAAAGAATATTTTACTTGATCTTCACTTCTGGTGACTTTGGGGCAGTTAAGGATTCTCTGTCCCTCAATGGCTTATAATAAACATGCTGTGAGATCATTAGGGTGTTTGGGGTGGCTAGAATTGCCCTTTGCTGCTGTTTGAGTTACTTGCTAAGAAGCATTACTAGGTTTTGGAGGACAGACATCCGGACCCTTTGTAAATCTGTAAACATCCTTGGATTGTTTGACACTTTAAATTTCTACTTCATGACACAGTACAAAACAGTCTACATATAAGATCAAACAGGTCCAAAGTAACATGGATTATATAGAGCCTTGGCTTTAATATGGAAAAATTAACAAATACTAAAATAATTTTGTTAGGTATATGCTAACATCTGATAATAAACTAAGTTTTTAAGTGTTCTTAAAAAATGCCAGATACATTAATGTCTTTAACATTAGCAGGTGGAGAAGCCATAGAAATTGGGACTGTGTTTTTGGTCTTTTTTTAATTGCAATAATCTTTGTTTACTTTTCAGTGTTAGATAATTTGAATTAAATGAAAGGTCATTGGCTTTCTGGAAATTAAGTACAGATGTAAATATTTTAGAAAAACCATTTAAAATCCAGGACTGAATACATACAAACGAGTAGGAAAACCCACTTGAGTTTTAAAATCACTGATCTGTGAAAGCCTCAGTACCACGTGGCTAAGGATCAAAACTGTTCCAGATTCTGTGCCTTTTGAATAGCCTCAGAGTATGAAACGAGTTAGCACATTTCATGACCCCAGTGATGGTGCAGAGAAGATGCAGATTGGTAACTGGAAAACTTAAATCTTGGGGGGTGGTTGTTTTTATATTAAAACAAAGCTGTTTGCATAATATGCTTCAGTGTAAAGCTGAGCAATCTATGCTAGAAGTGGGGGCTCCAACTTGTAAGTGTGTAGAGGAGTTCACATTGGCCTCTTCAGCGGAGGATGTGCTGACACATTAGATCACGTTTTCAAAGAGCTGCATGGAGCGCATGATGTTTTCATCCTGTAAGGGAGAAAGAGGAGGATTTTATCTGCAGGGTTTATAATGGAAAGTACTGCTGTACCTTTAAGTATGGTCTATGACCTTCATGTGCTGCTTTGTGTTGGCTAGTATATCTGTTCTTCATTCTATACAAATAACTACAAGGCTTCATTTTATACTTTCTTGAATATGCCTTTAGCTATTTTATGACTTAACCTGGTAGTAGACCAGAATATTTCTCAAATGATGTCGGGATGAAAACAGTGACTATGATGGCTAAGGTTGGCTGTTAACGGCACAAGGTGTCCTACTAAAACAAGCTGCTAGGCAGGTCCCATGATGGGTTTTCTGGACAAGATTACTTGAAGCAGGTAGACCTATCCTAAATCTCGGTGGCATCAGGACATGGAAAACAACTTTGCTCTTCGCCTGCTTGCTTTCACTCTTGCTGGTATCCCTTTGCCAGTACTATAATTGCCTTCTCAGGGTTTCCGCAGAGACTGAAGGTCAGCAGCTCTCCAGGAGTCCCTTAGGACTCCAATGCCAGACTGAGACTTTGTGGACATGCAGCCTTGCGAACTGAAGAATTACAGATTCTCAGTCTCTACAGTGGGAGACAGCCATTCTTAAACTACTGTGACTGCAATCTATAAGCCAATCTAATAAGTCTCCCCTACCCCCTTGTGTGTGGCAAGCTTCAAGAGATTATCCAAGAACAGGTGGGAACCTTGGCATTTTAGGTAGATTGCAAGTCAAAACACAGAAGGTATACAAATATTCATCTTCCAGGACAGAGAGCAATCAGTATGCTTACAGCCATTTTACCTCTAGCTGTCAGTTATTGCTAAATCTGTATTTCCTGTAGGAGTCTTTAAAACTGAATAGTTCTGAACATCCAAGAAATGATTGGTTAGGAGAACCCATAGTACAGTGCATGGGTTCATCTAAGGCTGTTTCTTAGAAATGAGCTCCAGTGGCAGACTGGGCTCTTGAGAGAACTTCTGGGGAAACACTTTTGCAGTAAACACTGTTGGAGACCTTTGTGTCGGCGTGTCACTGCTGGAGCGCTGGTGCTTCCATTGCCCCAATGCTAGTTCTGACACTGCCCACAGGGTTGATGTCACCACTTAAATCTTTCCGAGATGTTGACTTTGAAAGGTGAGTTGAGAAACAAGCAGGCATCAGGAAAGTTGATAACTTAACAATTGAAAGTGGGGGAAACCACCAGCAAATGTGTCTCCATGCTTATTTATAATTATGACCATCCCCATGCATGAAGTTGAATCACTCTAGGTGAGCTAAGTCTAGATTTCCAGAGAGCACATAATTACTAGATTTTTTTCTATGAATTATTTCCTCTTTATTTTTATAAGTGGGGACAATTATTGGGTTCAGCCAAAGTGTTCCTTTTTGTCCATGTTTATTAAATCAATTATACTTTGCAGAAGACCTAAATTTGATCTCTGAAACTCAAAGTGGCAAAGGGAAGAACTAACTCTTGTAAGCTGTCCTTTAGCCTTCAAATGTGTGTCATGGCATGTTCCTTCCTCATAACATACATACACAGATGGAAATTTAAAATTAAAAAGAGAAACAAACCAAAGACCAATTCAATCTTCCATAGTTTGTGGCACTGGATTTTTTAATTCTATGAAGATACAATAAATAATGTTTTAAAAGAACTATGTCTTGGAAAGAGTAAAGTTTTATGATATGGGCTTCACTTCTGTATACTGTTAATATATTTTATTATCATTGCTTAATAAAGAAGCTGCTTCAGCATATAGCAGGGCAGAATATAGCCAGGCTGGAGGAGATATATAGAGAGAGTAGTCAGAGAGACACCATGTAGCTGCCAAAGAAGACAGATGCCCCAAAACCTTACTGGTAAACAAACACAAAATAATAGGAATGTGTTTAAGATGTAAGAGTTAGCTAATAAGAATCCTAAGCTATTGCCCAAGCAATATTGTAATTAATATAGTTTCTGCGTGATTATTCGGTTCTTGGCAGCTGGAAAACAAGCAGTCTCCACTTACAGTTTTATTTTTTTCATTATATGTACATACATCTGCGTGTAGGTGTGTGAACACAAGCATGCATGTGCCTGCAGAGTCCAGAGGAGGGTCTCAGGTCCCATGGTGTTGGAATTTCAGTCCATTGTGAGATTCCTGCCTTTGGTGCTGGGAACCAAGCTCTGGAACTCTAAAGGGAGCAGCAAACACTCAACTACTGAGCCACCTCTCCAGCTTCTGAAGCAGAAATTTAGATCTATGTTTTTATTTTATTTTATTTATTTATTTTTTTTGGACACACGGTTTCTTTGCGTAGCCTTAGCTGTGCTGGAACTCCCTCTGTAGACCAGATTGGGCTTGAACTATTAGAGATCTGCCTGCCTCTGCCTCCCGAATGCTGAAATAAAGGCATGCACCACCGCCGCCTGGCATCTATGTTTTTGTTTATCAGTAATGAATAACCTCTAAAGGTTTCGAGAAACAAACGGATGATGTGTGTAATTTTTGCTTCAGGATAGACAGTCTATCAAGTTGGATGTGCACAGAAATCTGCTTTCAGGTGAAAAGATTGTCCCGTTATCATGTTCAGCTTCTACAGTTGATGTCTATTTTGCTTAGTTCCCATTGGCTGTGCTCACTGTAGCTGACACTAACAAAAGGGCGAGTTCTTTTCCTTACTTACTTTTTGGCAACTTTCAATGAACTCGTCTATGGTAACAACACCATCTTTATTTTTGTCCATCTTCTGTTGAGAAAGAAAAGAACAAAGCATTGTATTGGATGGCCTTTTGATATTCTCCCCATACCCGATTGACTGACACAGATAAGAATGTAGCATGTGATATGTTATGTGGGACAATTTCATGCTAGGAGGAGCTAGTGACTTCCTATAATGGTGGGGCAAAATCATCATAGGTTGTATCCTTTTCCACACAATGTGAAACATGAGCCACCTAAAGTGATTTCTAAATATGACAGAGTTCATACAGTTTTTTGGAAATGTAGAGTCTTGATTTTTCCTTCTATAAAATGGGAGAGTATTACTGAGAATTTATTTTTAAGGGTATTGTATGAACTGTGTGAACAGTTATGAAACAGAATGGCTTAGTCAGGATAAAAATGACTCTTCTGGAGTTACAATTTTCTTTAATAATTAATTCAAAAGCCCAAAATATGAAATTAAGATGCTATGTGTGCTATTGTTCAGTCCCTATGAATAAACATTTTCCTTTCCATTTTGTCTCTGTGAATCAACATTCTTCTTTCCATTTTTTTACATCAAGGTGCTTTGCAAGTATCAAGAAATCTATTCATTGCTGCTTTCCCTCCCATCTTCCCTCGCATCTCTCGTTCCCACCTGGAAAAATGTCTCCACATGCTGTCGGGGAGCGTCTTCCTTGAGGACAGGATATGTGCATTTCCCCATCATGTCATATATTGCTTTCATTATGTCCAGCATTTCCTGAAATGGAAAGGCACTCGTGTGAGGCTGCACACCAGGTGAAGAAGCGCATCCAGATGCATTAGGAGGTTGTGTTCCGTTCACGTGTTTCTTAAATTCTTTCTGAGGTGCCTCTTAGTTTGCCAGAAGCCAACAGCCCCAACGCAGTGGAATCAGAATGTAACAATCGACTGTGAAATTTCAGTTTTGCAATGAAGTAGATTCCCATGTATCTCACTTGGTTGGGAAAGGAATAGTCTGATTTAATGCGTTTTCAAAAATACATAGACTTTGTTTTACTGGACTATTGCACACTTATTGATTTCTACTTATTAGAAATATTTTGCATTTAAAACTAAAACTAAGTACTAATTATCAGTAAATAGTAAAGTCCCTGGAGACTGTTTTTATTTTTATCACTTTTTCCTAATTTTGCTTTAACTGAAGAAGTAACACAAATTCAAATATTTTGACTAGGGAGCATCTTAACATTTTGTTAGCATTAAAAGTAAAATCTATTGTTTGCCATGTCATTTTAATCTTACAAGACAAAAGTAATATCTAGTTTCTTAAATATTTAGATTTATTATCTGACATGAAATCCATTTTAGATTCAGTAGATGATACAGTTCTATTCTATTTACTTTTGAGAGTATGTATTGCATGATAAAGTAGTTTGCAAAAATAAATGAAACTTTATCAGGCATTTCTAACATAGATAAATAGTAAGACATAAGTAAACTGTAGGCAAAGTTGATGAGCTGTATTAAACCTAGAAAAGAATAGAACCTTAGCACTGTATTCAGTTCTCAGCATTGTAGCAAAGGAAAGAATGGTTCAATTAGGAGGAGCTAAAATTCTTCATGTCCTCTAGGTTCCTTAATGTTCTTGAGGTGCCTAGGAAGTGGATATTCATGCTATACCAAATATGGAAGAAGCATATCTATTCATGAAGTCTTAAATTTAGCACTCCTTGATGTTACCTAATCTGACACCATGTATCCTTGGTGACTAATCAAGCAGTGGTGCCCTGTCACACGGAGTCTGTATCCCATAAAGCATGTTCATGCCACTGGTCCTGAGAATCTTATGTCAAATAGGACTGTTTGTTCAGACCTTCACTCTGGGGAAGATAGCAATGCAGAGAGAAATATAGGCCTTGTGACCCTTAAGTATGCCCCTGCTTCAAGCAGAACATTCTTTCAATCTTATTAGCATCCTACACAAAGGGTGACTACCTTCCCTCATCCCTTATCTTCTGTTGTTTTAAATCAGCAAACCATTTTAATTTGTGAATGCCACATTATTAGTGTACCTCTAGTTCTTTTTGTTGATCACAACATTGTCCTGATTCACCCCCAAACAAGGGAAATACCTGACAGCCATTGGGTGGTATAGCTTTGGTGGCTGTTGATTTCCTGGAACCCTTGACCCCCAAACTGTTGTCTACCTGATAAGAGAAGGCCTCTGCCACTCCCAAAGATCCCAACTTTCCCCCCTATTATCAACAGAAAAAAAGGAGTACAATATTGATGTATTTCATGTTTTCTTTGGAGATTTACTACGAATGAGTTCTATCTGTTACATTTTTATTAAAATGTATCCCATTTCTACCAACATATCACAAAATAGTTTTGATTTCGTAAAATGTGACCTTTAAAGTAAACATTGAAATTGTCTAATACTCTGAAGTTAATCAAAACTATCTCAGAGGATACTTAAATTGGTGTGTCATCTCTTACTTCTTTAGTGATGTAGCCATCTTTGTTTATATCATACAAATTAAATGCCCAGTTGAGTTTTTCTTGTACTGTCCCCCGAAGCAAAATGGAAAGACCTTTGATGAAATCCTAAAATGAAATTAAAATAGAATTTAGAATATGGTAAAATTCCCTCTTCAGTGATCATAACACAATTAACAACCCTCTGGATTTTGAACAGGTTTCCAATGTATTTTTAGTCTTCAGTTCCTCAGAGCTCTTTGTAAGTATGAACTGTACCGTACCCTTTAACATTTTTATCTAATTAGCAACTGAGTTAAATTAACCATGGCACTGGAAATTATACCTTTAGACATGAGTACCTAGACAGAAGAGCACGTGCACGTGCACACCACAAATTCTTTAAAAGAAGAAATAATATTCGTGAGTAAGAAATGCAGGTTGTCCATAAGAAACACATAATCTGTACTCTTTAGTAGAAGTCAAATTATAGTTCGCATTTGGACAGTTATGAAAAAAAACTGGAGCCACAGTGATTGGATTCAAACTAGCATCCTTTATAACTAATTTCATATTTATAAAAATGAGGACAATATCTTCTTCATAAAGATTTTACAATGATTGAAAGGGTTAATATACCTTTAACAGTCCTTGTAGAAGGCATTGGCCGTAAAGCTGTTTTTACTCTGGAATCCTCAGCTAATGTTTAAATGGATTTGCTTACAAGGAAAGGGATCCAGGTTAACCTGAGAACATTCTCATGTATTTGTTGTAATATGAAGTCAATATTACAATGTGATAAACTCAGGAGTCTCTTTTTAGAAATGAAAAAGTGCAAGTAATCCAGAGGTTACCCTTTGGGTGAACTTGAATTCTCTCTCCTTTTCTGTACTCCATCATTTTACAGCCTATTTCCTATGCCAATTTTTACATAGTGTTTTTCTTTCTTTGATGGTACCTTTGGAGCTTACAGCTCACAAATTAAGATTTATGTAAGAAAGCTGTCGAAAAGTCCTTTCCTTCCCAAACTGAAATAACTCATTTCTTTTCCAACCAATTTTTGTGACTATGTATATTTATTTATATGCATTCTCATTTTATGTAAATAAATGGTAGCTTAATATGCCATTCGGCACTTTATTTTGTTTCGATTTGTCCACAATGAGATATTGAAAGAGAGTCCTTTTAACACAATGGGAACTCTTGTTGCTTGCCTTTTTAATAAAGGGGGTATTCCATTTGAATATAGATAGATAGATAGGTAGATAGATAGATAAATAGATAGATAGATAGATAGAGAGGGTTTCTCTGTAGCTTTTGAGCCTGTCCTGGAACTAGCTCTTGTAGACCAGGCTGGGCTTGAACTCTTAGAGATCTGCCTGCCTCTGCCTCCCAAGTACTGGGATTAAAGGCATGCTCCACCACCGCCCAAATTTGGATATGTTTCTATTAGTGTTTCATGCACCAATAGAGAACCCCAACAGCATCTCTGACTCTAGTGATAGAACATGGCCTGTCACCTCTGGCCAAGACCATCAGATTTATGGCTGACATTATTACTGAACCTAGTCCAAGTCTTAAGTGATTCTGAGGTTCTTGGACTCTTTTAAGAAATGTTAACCAGGTTAAAGGTGTTCTTCCCTGTAGGACAGGAATGGTCAACCACAAAGTTCAAGGGCTGTTGGTAGCATCTTGCTCTCAGACTGGGCCACCCAAAGTGTGCAGTCAGAGCCATTTCTGGCCTTGTCATTCCTGTGAGCCAACAAAGATCACATTGTTGTTGCCAATTATTCTATGATTTCTAGTCTTATTAGGGAAAGCACTCCTTTTATGCATACATTTCTCCTAAGTTCTAAGTATCTTGAACAGGCTCACACAAAACAGTGGCTATGACCCAGGGTTCCTGACCTAACTCTCACAGGGAAGGGGGAAAACAAAAAATCCCAGGAGTAAAACTATCTTTTTATTATAAAATACCTAGAGATAAACCATTCCCAACAGGACCACTACTCGCTATCCTGTATTATGAAAATGCCTTGAGTTCAAGTATTGTTTCTTTTACATACGTGAGTGCTTTTATCTTAGGGGCATAGATATTCAGGATTGAGTCTTCATCCTGATGAATTGTTCCTGTTATGAGTATAAAATGTCCATCTCCATCTCTTCTGATTGATTTTAGTTTGAAGTCAATTTTGTTAGATATTAGAAGGGCCACCCCCGCTTGTTTCTTAGGTCCATTTGCTTGAAAAACCTTTTCCCAACCCTTTACTCTGAGTAGAGGTCTGTCTTTGTGGGTGAGGTGTGTTTCTTGTAAACAGCAGAATGTTGGATCCTGTTTTTGTATCCAGTCTCTTAGCCTGTGCCTTTTTATAGGTGAATTGAGTCCATTGACATTAAGTGATATTAATGACCAGTGGTTGTTAAATCTGTTTTTTGTTGTTGTTGTTAGTAGAGTTTGTGTCTTTCCCTTCTTTGAGTTGTGCTGGTGAAGGGTCACTAGATGTCTGAATTATTGTGGGCATTGTTGGTTTCCTTGGGTTGTGATTTTCCTATTACTTTCTGTAAGGCTGTATTTGTGGCTACGTAGTGTTTAAATTTGTTTTTATCCTGGAATATTTTGTTTTCTCCATTGATCGTTAACAAAAGCTTGGCTGGGTATAGTAGTCTGGGCTTGCATCCATGGTCTCTTAGTTTCTGCAGTACATCTATCCAGGACCTTCTGGCTTTCATGGTTTCCATAGAAAAGTCAGGTGTAAGTCTGATAGGTTTACCTTTATAAGTTACTTGGCCGTTTTCCTTTGCAGCTCTTAGTATTCTTTCTTTATTCTGTATGTTTTGTGTTTTTATTATTATATGGCAAGGGGATTTTTTTTGACCTAGTCTGTTCGGTGTTCTGTATGCTTCTTGGACGTTCATAGGAATATCTTTCTTCTCAACTAAAGAAGTTCAAATGGACAAAAAACACTTAAGGTCATGCTCAGCCTCCTTAGCGATCAGGGAAATGCAAATCAAAACAACTTTGAGCTATCATCTTACACCTGTCAGAATGGCTGAAATCAAAAACACCAATGATAGCCTTTGCTGGTGAGGATGTGGAGTAAGGGGAACACTCATCCATTGCTGGTGGGAATGCAAACTTGTGCAACCACTTTGGAAATCAGTGTGGTGGTTTCTCAGGAAATTCGGGATCAACCTACCCCAGGATTGAGCAATACCACTTCTTGCAAATATACCCAAGAGATACCCTATCATACTACAAAAACATTTGTTCAACTATGTTCATAGCAGCTTTCTTTGTAATATCCAGAACCTAGAAACAACCTACATGCCCCTCAATGGAAGAATGGATAAAGAAACTGTGGAATATATATGCATTAGAGTACTACTCAGGGGTAAAAAACAATGACATCTTGAATTTTGCATGCAAATGGATGGAAATAGAAAACACTATCCTGAGTGAGGTAACCCATACCCAAAAAGATGAATATGGTATGTACTCACTCATTAGTGGATTCTAGACATTAATAAAGGACATTGAGCCTATAATTCTTGATCTTAGAGAAGCTAAATAGGAAGGCGAATCCAAAGAAAAACATGTAGTAATCCTCCTGGATATTGGAAGTAGACAAGATTGCTATTCAAAAATTGAGAGCCTTGAGGGTGGGGGTTGGGTGGGGATAAGGGGAGATGGGTAGAGAGAAGTGAGAAGGGGAGGACGGGGAGATCTTGGGGGATTGGGATGGCTGGGATGAAGGAAGAGTGGATACGGGAGCAGGGAAGTATAGATCTTACTTAAGGGGGCCATTTTAGGGTTGGCAAGAGACTTGAATCTAGAGGGGTTCCCAGGTGTCCAAGAAGATGTCCTCAGCTTGTTCCTTGAGCAGCTGAGGAGAGAGCACCTGAACTGGCCCTATCCTATAGCCACACTGATCAATATCTTGCATATCACCATAGAACCCTCATCTGGCGATGGATGGAGATAGAGACAGAGACCCACATTGGAGCACTGGACTGAGCTCCCAAGGTCCAAATGAGGAGCAGAAGGAGGGAGAACATGAGCAAGGAAGTCAGGACCATGAGGGGTGCGCCCACTCACTGTGATGGTGGGGCAGATCTAATGGGAACTCACCAAGGCCAGCTGGACTGGGACTGATGGACCATGTGATCAAACCGGACTCTCTGAACGTGACTGACAAGGAGAGCTGACTGAGAAGCCAAGGACAATGGCACTGGGTTTTGATTCTACTGCATGTACTGGCTTTGGGAGAATCTTGTCTGTATGGATGTTCACCTTCCTAGAATTGGATGTGGGGGGAGGACCTTGGACTTCCCACAGGGTAAGGAACCCTGACTGCTCTTTGGACTGGAGAGGGAGGGGGAGGAGGAATGGAGGGAGGGGGAGGAAAATTGGAGGAAAGGAGGAGGTGAAAATTTTTAATAATAATATTAATAATAATAAAAAACCCTGAAAGAACAAAAAAGAAAATACCTAAGGGGGAAGGAAGTAGAAACTACAGCTGACTCCCTCAATTTCTCCAGTCAGTTTCTGCTGGATGTGTGTAAATATCTATAATTCTCAATTTGATGATACTACATTCCTGGTGTTACTTGTCCTTCTTATACTTGAACACCTTGCCCAAGGGGTCACTGTACTGCTCAGGGCTCTCTATCAGGAAATTCAGTGATCTGCTTTAAAGAGATCAGCTGCTTCCTCAGCTGATTTCTGCTGGAGGCTTTTAGAGCCCAATTTGATAATATTTTGATATTACCTCTCTCTCTCTCTCTCTCTCTCTCTCTCTCTCTCTCTCTCTCTCTTTCTCTCTCTCCCTCTTTTTATATTTGGCTTACTATATACTTGATAAACCCATCCATAACCAAAAGTACAACTATTGTAGATCTTCCTCTAAAAGACAGAGGCCGACGTCTGCCGTAGTAAGAACCTAGTCCTGCTCAGTGGAGGTCTTTCTCTTCTATCTGACAAGCCTCTTTGCTCAGTGTCTCAGCGCTGCTGCTGGTTCCCAAGCTTTAGTCATTCTTTCTTCTACCAGTCAAAGAGCACCCCGACTGAGAATAACCCGTTTGGAGGCAGATGCAACAGAGTCCAGATAGGAAGCAGTAAATGACTCACT